GAGGAAGAGTCCCCCAAAGATCGGCCCAGGAAGACTGTGAAGCTGGAAATGGAGCAGAAGAAGCTCAGCTTCAGTGCCGTAGCTGGCTCCGCGCGTATAGGAATTCGCAATTCGAATCCTATGAGTGTGTAGCAGATGCGGCTGGTCCACCGGGCACTAACACAAGCCATCGCTAAGACGGCCTGTGGGTCGAAACCGGGAATGGGTCCAAAATTTTCGGGATTCACGCACAAGCCGGGTTGGATTATGGTAACGTGCCTGAATAAGGCAAGCCATGACTGGATTGTGGGTGAAATCGAAAAACTAAAACCCTGGCCGGAGGCAGAGCTCTCGGTAATACCCGAGGGCGAACTGCCTAAGCCTCAGCTGGGCATTACCTACTTGCCCCGCAGCGAAGCCGACTCTCCAGAGGAGGCGGCTGTGCTGTTGAGAGCACAAAATGAAGGGCTCCATACTGAGCTCTGGAGAATCCTCCGCCATAGGGACGAGTAGAATGGGTTCCTAGTAACCTTTTGAGGACGACCCATCGGCGGAGGCTCTTCGGAAGGCAGGCGGCAGAGTCATCCTCGGCTTTAAGATGATAACTTTTAAAGTCAAGGGAAGCTCTGACGCGGCAATGGAGCCTGAACCGCCCCAACCCCAACCCAAATCCCCCCAGCCTTCCACCTCTCGGGGTGAGGCTGGAACGCCGCATTTCGCCTCGGTCCGACGGCCTCCGCTGGTGTCGTCCAGGCGGGAGGGATGGGAGGTGGGAGCGGTTTGACGAAAGGTAAGGCTGGGTTCAAGTTCGCAGGCAAAGGACGTCCTCGTCATCAACAGGCGGAAAAGACCCCCCCCCCACGCCCATAAATGGCTAAACCAAGAGTAAGACGAGGGTCCTCCTAGCAAATCTTCACAATGCAGCAGCTGCTCCTGCCGTGGTGGAGGTTTGCTTTGCAGAGGACAACATTGAGCTCGCCCTTATACAAGAGCCTTGGTTGGCCAACGGTCAAGTTCTGGGATTGTCGGCTGCCGGTAAGATTCTTGTCAATACCAAATGCAATAGACCCAGAGCTTGTATAATTTACAATAAAAATATTGAACATTTAGCTGTTCCAGAGTACTGCAATGATGACCTGGTTACAGCCTTCATAAATCTCAAGGGATGCACATTTCACTATATTTCGGCGGAACGCAGATCCTACCATCGAGTTAGAGCGAGTGGCTGAGTTCGCCCGAAAACACAACGCCGAACTTGTGGTGGGTTGTGATGCTACTGCTCCCCACACAGCCTGGGGAAGCGCCAACATCAACGAAAGAGGTGAGTTACTTTATGATTTTCTCATCTCCAACCGCCTGGTAAGCCTAAACTTAGGTTGTACACCAACCTTTGTAACGCGTGCTAGGCAAGAAGTGTTAGACATAACCTTTGCTACCAATAACATGTCCAGGCGGATAAATGACTGGCATGTTAGTAGCGAAAACTCGATGTCTGATCACAAGCACATTAAGTTTGTGATTGGAGCATCACCAACCTTTGAAACCGTTACTTTTAGGGATCGGAAAGCGACCTCCTGGGATATCTACAGAAATAGACTAAGGAGGAATTTGGAAACGTTTCCCAAAAGCATTAAAACTATTGAAGGTCTGGAGTTAGCGACGGAGACAGTAACCGTAGGTATCCGTGAAGCCTTCGAGGTCAGTTGTCCCGTCAAAACCAAGACCTCAACACGAAGAGTTTCTTGGTGGAATTCTAAGCTGAAAGACCTTAGGGAAAAGACCAGGAAACTATTTAATAGGGCTAAGAAAAACAAAGAGTGGGATATTTATAGTGCAGCCCTAACTGAATATAATAAAGAAATCAGGAAAGCCATGAGAGCATCGTGGAGGAAGCTATGCGAGGAAGTTGAGTCTTTGCCTCGCAGTGCAAGACTACACAAGATGCTATCGAAAGCTAAACCTAATCAGATCATGCTTTTTAAAAGTCCGGATGGTAACTTCACTAATAGTGGAACAGAAACATTGGAGCTAATAACGTCAACCCATTTACCAGGGTCATACAAGACTTCATCCTTGAACTCTTTCAGAGCCCTACGAATGCCTTGCAATGAGGAATGGCGTAGGGCTGCAAAGATAATAAGGCCAAACCTGGTGCAGTGGGCTGTTGACTCCTTTGAACCATTTAAATCAAGCGGGGAGGATGGAATAATTCCCATCAAACTACAGAGGGGTATCGACATCCTTCTTCCTTATCTGGTGAAAATCTTCAGAGCAAGTTTGGCGTGGGGATATATTCCAGAACGATGGACAATTGTCAAGGTTCTATTTATACCTAAGGCTGCTAGAAAGGACTACGCTTTACCAAAGTCCTTTAGACCTATAAGCCTATCTTCCTTTCTTCTTAAGACATTGGAAAAGGTTATAGATAGGTATATAAGGGATGTAGATCTAGCTTCGAGGCCCATACATTACAACCAGCATGCTTACCGCGGAGACAAATCTACGGAAACAGCCCTGATTAGTGTCATTGACAGGGTCGAAAAAGCACTGGAGGATAAGGAAATAGCTCTTAGTGCCTTTCTAGATATTGAGGGCGCCTTAGACAGTAGCCCCACATCGCTGCTGATTGGGGGCCTAACATCTAATAATGTTGACCCCACAACCATCAGATGGGTGAAGTCGATGCTCTCAAACGGAAAGGCAAAAATAGCGCTGTTTCAAACTTCGATTGAGGTTGCAACCACAAGAGGCTGCCCACAAGGAGGTGTTTTGTCACACCTTTTTTGGACTCTTGCGGTTGACCAACTATTGTGCAAAATGGCAGACCTACGCATTGACACATTGGGTTATGCTGATGACCTTGTGATCATTGCGAGGGGCTTTTGCCAAAGTACTTTATCGTCAATAATACAAAGAGCCCTAAACACCATAAATAACTGGTGTAGGGTTAACAGTTTATCAGTTAATGCTGATAAAACTGTTATAATACCCTTTATCAAAAAGATACGGTTGGACAAATTAGTCCAACCAAAACTTAATGGTAAATAAGTACCATTTTCTACGGAAGTTAAGTACTTGGGCGTAACAATCGACCAAAAACTAACGTGGAACTCTCACCTTAGCAACGTATGCTGTGAGGCATAAATTGCTTTAGGTACGTGCGTCTTGGTCGGGAACAACTGGGGCTTGCGTCCCAGTATGGTCCTATGGCTGTAAAGCAGCATAGTGAGGCCGATTCTCACTTACGCCTCCATTGTCTGGTGTAACAAGGCCAACCAAAAGATGACTGCGGACAGACTAAATAGTCTACAAAGGACTGCCTGCCTAATGGCAACTGGAGCTATGCGATCATCGCCTGGAGCGGCTCTTAATGCACTTCTATGCCTAACGCCCCTTGATCTCTATCTAGACAAGGAGGCGAGGGCTAGTTTGTATAGGATTAACGCCCAGGGCGGTCTGAGCTTGCTCTCCTACAGATTGAGCGACTAAATCTAGTCCAGTTTAACCCCCAGAAGACACAAGTTTGCGCGTTAACCGCTAAAAAGAACCCCTTTGTCGTATCCCCTCAGTTTCAAGTCACTCCCCTTGTTGCCTCAGCCAGTATCGGAATCCTCGGCGTCGACATATCGAGTGACGTGCAGTTTCGTGGTCACTTGGAAGGGAAGGCCAAATTGGCCTCTAAAAAGCTTGGCCTGCTCATCAGAGCGGGACAGTATTTCATGCCGGCACACCGCCTGCAACTTTACAAGGCGCAGGTTCGGCCGCTCATGGAATACTGTTCCCATTTCTGGGCTGGGGCTCCCCAGTACCAGCTCCTTCCACTTGACCGCATCCAGCGCAGAGCGGCTCGAATCGTCGACGACCGAGTGCTTTCCGATCGGCACGATTCACTGGCGCTGCGAAGAGATGTTGCATCTCTTTGCGTATTTTATCGCATCTATCACGGGGAGTGCTCTGAGGAATTGTTCGAATTAATCCCAGCCGCCAAATTTCGTGAACGCACTACACGGCAAACGTCCCGATACCATCCACACCATCTGGATGCTTGGCGGTCTACCACTGTACGTTTCAAAAGGAGTTTTCTTCCGCGTACAACCTCTCTGTGGAATAATTTACCACCGGCGATTTTTCCGGACCGATACGACCTGGGGACCTTCAAGAAAAGAGCTTACTCCTTTCTAAAGGGCCAGCAACGCACCTGCAATTCCCCTGGTGTTGCGGTTAATCATGGGCGGCGGTAGTCACTTAACATCAGGTGAGCTGCATTTGCTCGTTTGCCCCCTCTTCTATAAAAAAAAATGCTCGACTCAATTAAGGAATCACCGGTCTTATGCATAATCTCAGATATCATGCGTCCACTACACACTTTTGATAAAAAGTGTATAGTGAAATTACCCTCCAGAGAAGACTGGCTGAATGGCCAGGTTATCTGTGAGGTCGGTAGCCTCATATGGTATACCGATGGGTCTAAAATGGGCCTCGACCTAGGCTTTGGAATTTACGGGGAACGCCCCAAATTCAAACTTAATATGAATTTGTGTAGATACACCTCTATCTTCCAGGCAGAAATTTTCGCCATACTTTGGTGTGCGGAAATCAATCTGCAAAAACACTACGTGAAAAATGAAATTTACATAAACTCGATAGTCAAGCAGCACTGCTAGCGCTGAGATCAAATCAGTCGTGTGCGCGCGCGCTTGGCGTACGGCTGTTGTATCGTAGATCCACTTAAGTCAAGTACGTAATTGTGCATAAATATCTAAAAGACGGTTTCCAATATCGCATAAGCATTAATAATGGTGAAGTGTAAAAAATGCAATAAGACTGTGTCGATCGCAAAAGAGGAGACTAGTAAATGTAAAGGCGCATGTGAAGCAGTCTTCCATAAAAAATGCGTTACGAGATCTACCTTCAAAAATGAAAAATGTGAAGATTGTGTTTCCGTGCCCGGATCGTGTACTAGTTCGCCTGCTGTTGATGAACCGGATATTGCAGTGACTCTGGCTGATATGAATAGGAAAATGGAGGTGGTGTACAAAATGGAGAAGAAGCTGAGTGAGCTGGCCGATTTGGTTGATTTTGTATCAGAAAAGTATGATAACCTAGTGGAGTACCAGAAGTCGACCGAAACAAAAATAAAATCCTTAGAAAACATGAATGCTCACTTGATCAAGTGTAACAAAGCACTGGAAGAACGTGTGAATGAGCTGGAAGAGAAAGACAAGGAAAAAAAGGTGGAATTAGTTGGACTGGAAAAGAAGGAAAATGAAGATGTAGCGAAAATAATAATCCAGGTAGCCAACAAACTCCATATGGATGTTAGCCAGATTGAGCACGCAGAGAGGGTAGGCCGTATAAAACCAGATGCCGACAAGCCACTGCCAGTAGTTGTAACGCTGAGAACGAAAGAGGCTCGTGATAAGTGGATTAGAAGTCGCAAAAAACTTCTGACCAATGGCGAAATTTATGGTACAAATAACGACAACCGTATTTATATAAATGAGAATCTCACTAGATATAAAAGGAACCTTTTATGGGTTACTAAAAATCAGCTTAGGAAAACCTACAAGTACATTTGGGTACAGGATGGAAAAATACTCATAAGAAAGAGTGATGAACAGAAGAAAATAATGTCAATTAAGAGTGAACGTGATATTGAAAAATATATAGAAAACAATTTAAATACGGCAACTAGCTAGATGTTGTTGTTGGTCTCACTAGCCTCACGCACACTTAGTGCGAAGTAAACACTGCGAGCTCAATAACATCAAGTAAAAGGTGATCGTTTCGATGCAATTATCACACTGGAATGTCAATATACAAGATTTAAAACAGCGAATTCCTGGGTTCGGAGTATATCTTGCAACAATAAATATTTACACATATTACACATAAATATTCGGTCGATAAGAAAAAACTTTAATGAATTGCAAGTGTTTGTAAAAAAATGCTCTGAGGAGTTAGCATTACTAGTGGTGACAGAGGCAAACATTAACAACAATGAGCTATCACTATACCACATGGAGGGGTACAATCTATTTGCAAACACGAGGGAGACTAAAAGAGGAGGGGGTGTGATTATTTACGCTAAGGAGTATCTTAGTTTCAATGCACACAAAACCCTAACGAGTTCACTGGAAGGACTTTATGGTAAACTCACTGTTGACCACTCTATTCTTAATATAATTGCAGTCTACAGACCACCAAAAACGAATAGGTCGTTATTCGTTGATGAAATGGAGCAGATAATTATGAAGATCCCAGCGAGCGAGGATATTATCATATTAGGTGACGTCAACATAAACCTGTTAGGAGTGAGTGAAAATCAACTGGTGTCAAAATATAAGGACTGCCTATGTGGACTAGGCCTACAGTGCGTAATACCGGTTACGGAGGTGACGCGAGAGGCTATCGTAGCGGGTGTAAGAGAAGCGTCGTGTATCGATCATGTTTGGGTGCGAGCAAGACAGCTGCGGGACTGCTACTCGTTCATCATTGAGTGCTCCATGTCGGATCATCATGTGGTGGGAATCTCGGTGCCGTGTAAACATGTGACGCAACACTGCACCGACAGCGCGTACTCGGACACTCGGTTTGTAATTAATAATAGCCTAGTAGCTAAGCAGATCACTGAGTATGATTGGTCTCAACTGTTGTTCATTGATTGTCCGTTAAAGTTGCATTGTAAGCTGCAAAATGCTTTCAATGATATTTATGAAAATAGTAAGACTGTAATGCCAAATATTAAAAAACGGGACACACAACCGTGGATAAGCAGAGATTTAAATAAAATGATAGTGCGTAGGGATAAGTTATTTAGGGATTGGAAAGAAACACCAAACAATAATACGAAAAGACTCGAATATACACGTTTTAGAAATAAGGTAAATAAATTAATATTTAAAGCAAAAAATAGGTTTCGGCAGGAAGAAATCAAGAAATGTAATGGAGACCCAAAAAAAATCTGGGACAAAATTAATAGCTGGACAGGTAGGAAGAAAGCAAATATAGATGATATAGTTAAAAGATATTTTGGAGATAAAAACACAATGTACAATATATGTAGTCAATTTGCAGATACATTTACGAACGAAATTATTGCTATTAAACATAATTGTAGTATTAAATTATTAGATAGAAGTAAATATGTTAAAGAAAGTGATGTAACGTTTCGCTTTAAAGCAGCTACCAGTGACACAGTGAGTAAAATTATCGATCAGCTGAGCTGTAGTAAGGCGCCAGGCACTGACTGCATTCGAGTTATGGACCTAAAAATAATCAAGGATAGAATCTCGCCGGTCTTATCACACTTTGTCAACCTGTGTTTATCGAAAGGGGAATATCCTAGCACACTCAAAAAAGCTTTAATCAGGCCCATCTACAAGCAGGGAGCGCACTCAGAGTATGCTAACTATAGACCGATTGCTATCTTATCGGTCATTAATAAAATAGTTGAGAAGATGGTAGTCGGCCAGGTCAGCGAATTCCTGGAGCAAAATAGCATATTAGCGGATGCACAGCACGGTTTTAGGCATGGTCGTAGCACCACAACAGCACTATCACAGTTTTCCGAAGATATAAACAGTAGTCTGCACCAGGGCCATCAGGTCCTGGCGCTGTTCATAGACTTTAAAAAAGCCTTCGATACCTTGGATCATGAGATGCTGTTACAGGCCATGGATGAGTGTGGAATCAGGGGTCCAACAAATAGGTGGTTTCGGAGTTATCTGAGTGACAGAACATTACAAACCTGCATTTCTGGTGTTGCTGGTAAAGAAGCAGCGGTACAGCTTGGTGTTCCAACTGGTTCAGTCTATGGTCCCGTTGGCTACGTTATGCATGTCAATAGCGTCAGTAATGTGGTTAAAAAATCTCGAGTATATATGTACGCGGATGACATATGCCTTATATATTCCTCTAAGAATATACAAGAGGTCAGGGCTGTGCTGCAGGGTGACTTCGATAATGTTACTCGTTGGGCTCATGACAATGGTATCATACTTAACCTTAATAAGACGAAAGTGATGCATCTGTACTCACCGTACAACTTAGTGGCAAAAAATGTCAAGAGCGTGGATATAGGTATTGTGGGCCACACATATGAATGTATGCACGATAAAAATTTAAATTGTATTTGTCAAAAGCTGGAGTATGTAAGTAGATTTAAGTATCTAGGTCTGTGGGTGGACTATAATATGAATTGGAAAACACAGGTTGACGCAGTGTGTACAAAGCTCAGGGCAGTGTTAAGTAAGTTTCATATCCTGAATGCAGCGTTGAATAAGAAATCGTTGCGTGTCATTTATTTTGCTCTCGCCGAGTCATTACTAACTTATGGATTAAATACGTATGGCCGTACATTTAAAACCTATCTTAACAGTATAAAATCGTTGCAAATCCGTTTTTTAAAATACCTTGTCAAACCACAAACAAAAATTGCATGTAAAGACAATTATGAAAAACTTTTTGTTGCATGTAAAATGCTTCCTGTACATGAGAAGGTCAAGTACCTGCTGGTTCTTGAACAGTTCTATAACGACCAATTTAAAGAACAAGTGCAAAATAGGTATAATACTAGAAGCGTTAGAGAGCGTAAACTCGTGCGACCACCAGTAAAAAACTACTATGGGAAAAGAACCAACAAATATTTGACCCCCACACTTTTTAATGACCTCGATTGGCTGAGAGAGGATAATACTAGAATAAGTAAACAAACATTAAAAAATAAATTGAAATCTGTTTTCCTTAACGAAGTTGTTGAGAGATGTGAAAAAGTTAGTAAATCCTAATATTAGTAGTAGTTTCTATAGGCCAAATGTTAGTAATTAGTAATTCTTAATAAAAGCAGTAGTTTTTTTTTATATAATAGGCTAAATTTTAGTAAATATTTCTTAATAATAGTTTAATACCGGTTTAAAAAAAAAATTAAAACTTGCTTTATTTACACTTTTATTTTCATTAGTTTATAGTTACGTATTTGAACCAAATGTATTAAGACAAGCGCTAATCCCGCCGACAAACTGTTACGCAGTTTGGTGGGTGTGAACAATGTATAAAAGTTTTGGTCCACAATAAATGATTTATTATTATTATTTGGGGTATCTATATAGTTTTCTCATCTGGTTGGGTTCTATAAATATATAATTATAAATAAAAATGAAAAGATAAATATACATAAATATCAATAAAATAAAATAAATACAAAAATACTTAAATAAGTAAAAGCCCAACCAGATGGAGGCCCTCGGCAGGGGAGACCAAACGGCCGAGGGTTAGGGGGGAAAGGGAAAGAAACCGGCGGACGATGCGGGCGGTATCGAGGAGCACCGCCTTCTGAATTTGAGCCCGGAGCGGTCCGCCACGTAGTCCCAGCCGCCTCAGATGACCCGAGAGGCTGACTGGGATTAGCCCGTTTGCAGAGACGACTACAGGAATAATTTCGGTCGGCAGACCACCCCACATGTCGGTCACCTCGTGAGCCAGGTCCAGATATTTTGTTTGCTTGTCTGTTTCGGCTTTCACGAGGTTCTCGTCATACGGAATGGTAATGTCGACCAAAAATATCCTTGACTGTGCCCGGTCCATCAGCACAATATCAGGCTTATTCGCAAGAATAGTCCTGTCTGTGATGATGGCCCGGTCCCAGTAGAGCCTGGCGCGGTCATTTTCGAGCACGGCTTCCGGCAAGTACTTGTAATACGGCAATTTCCGGTCCACGAGACCGTATTTCAGAGCGAGCTCCTGGTGTAGAATTCTGGCTACTAGGTTGTGCCTGTGCAAGTACTCAGAGTTAGAAAGCGCCGAACAACCGGAGATGACATGCCTAAGTGACTCACCGGGATGGCGACAAGCTCGACAGATGTCGACGGTGCCATCCTTTAGGATGTATCTCCGATAGTTGTTGGTCTTAATAACCTGATCCTGTATTGCACAGACAAAACCCTCGGTTTCCCCGAAGAGGTCACCGAAACGTAGCCAGTTGAGGGAGGCGACTGTGTCTACGAAAGGTTCATGTAGAGCCTTGTAGAACCTCCCGTGGAGCTCCTTCTCCTTCCATACGGTCTCCCGGTCGGAAATGCTAAGCACTGCCGGGTCCTGCCATTGCTCGTGGGCTAAGGATAGAGGGGTAAGCCCTTTATCACTAGAAATGACGTCCTTATAGAATGGATCATCCGATCTCGCCAGGAAGTAATCACGGAGGCTGCACACTTCGCGATTATGCATGGTGAGCGCGCTCATACAAGCCACGCCCACCATGCTTTCGCGGCAAGTACAGCCTCATTACCGACGATCTCGGATGATGCATCCTATGGGACGTCATGGTAGTGCGGACTTTTCTATCCAGGGCGTTAAGTTCGGTCTGAGTCCACCTGAGTATGCCAAAGGTATATATGAGGACAGGCATGACCCAACCGTTATATGCGTGTGTCTTATTCACACCGGACAAAAGGCTGTTAAGCACTTTGGTCAAGCGTGCATAAAACACGTCGCAAACTGACTGTTTCATACCAGCCTCATCGATACCGATGTTCTGTGACATACCCAGGTATCGGTATGTTTCAGCCTCGGAAAGGGTCCTTAAGTTGACGGGCATAGATAAGTCTATGCCCTCAGAGTTAGCAACCCTTCCCCTTTCAACATGGAGGACCGCACACTTATCCGTCCCCAGCTCCATTCCAATGGAATTGCTAAATTCACAAGTGATGTTTAGCAGTTCCATAAGATGGGAGCGACTGGAGGCGAATAACTTGAGGTCATCCATATAGAAAAGGTGGGTCACTTTTGTCCCTCCTTTCCGTAGCTGAAATCCTCTCCCGGAGCCCTCCAGTAAGGTACTGAGAGGGTTCAGAGAGAGGCAGAACCAGATTGGACTCAGACAATCGCCCTGGAAGATACCCCTTCTTATCCTTATGTGGTTCTCCGCAGCCATCATCCGCTCGCCCAGATGACAGAGGATCGTACTCCACTGCCGCATACACTGCTCGAGGAAGTCTCTAACTGTACAGTCAATCTTGTACAGCTCGAGGACCCTCTTTAGCCATGCATGGGGCACCGAGTCGAATGCCTTTCTGTAGTCTATCCAGGCGGCGGAGAAGTTCCGACGGTTGCGTTTTACCACTTTGCCAATGACCGCGTCAATGAGGAGTGGTTCCTTGGTTCCACGACCACCGCCCCGACATCCATTTTGAGCGCGTGACATCACCTTATTTAGCTCCAGGTGACGAGTGATTCTCGCGCTCAAAATGGATGTCAGTGTCTTATATATGGTGGGTAGACACGTGATGGGGCGGTATTTGCTCGGGTCTGTGGTATCCTGATCTTTAGGAACCAAGTGAGTGATCCCAGTAGTGAAGAGGCTCGGGAGCGACTTCTGATCGAGAGCCTCTTGATACTGTCGGGCGAGCACAGCGTGACACACTACGAACCCCTTCAGCCAGTAATGATGCAGCCCGTCGAGCCCCGGACTTTTCCAGTTCGGGGCCCTACGGACCGCCTCAGCCACGTCTTCAGGCGTTATGGTGACGGGGTCCATAGGCGTAACACTTGCACTCCGGCTCGCCACAACTTCCATCCAAGGGCCCTCGCTGTGGTTTACGGGCTCTGACCACAGGCCACGCCAAAATGCGACAGTGTCGGCCTGATCCGGTCCTGGGCCCGCTCCACATACCTCTGGTCGCTCCAATGATTTATAGAGCCTCTTCTGATCACTCTGGAAGAGACGATTTTGGTTGAACCGCCTTGACCTCTCGCTAAATCGTCGAATCCGCTTCCCCCAAGCAGCGATTTTTTGCTTCAGGTCGTCTATGCGCTCCGTTAGTTTCTGCGTGATATCCGGCTGGGACAAACTAATATTTGTCCCAGCAAACGCCATCTCTAACGGTGCGCACAACTCTCGGTCTAATATTACCCGACCTGAAGCTTGTCAGTCTGCCGATAAGGGCCCTTGCCTTTGCGATACGGTCCTCGATTCTTTTTCTCCAGGCTGGGATGGCACTACCTTGTTGAGTAGCACGTCCAGCCATGGGAAGTTTGGCGCCAATAATACGGCATACTGCCAGTGCGGCGCCAAAAAGAATAGAGTCCGTCTCGCAAAGGTCCCGGCTGGCTTCCAAATAGGTCACCAGCATTGGGTTAAGAGCCCGCACGACAGCCCGATTTCGCTTGCTAAGGGGTATGCGGGGAAGTCGCGGTCGATTTTCGAGAGGCATGCTGCGCGTTTCCAGCATCGACTCTTCCAATATGCTCCTCATTTTCTCTAGTTCGTGGGGGACTATTCCATCATCGTCTGAATCAACTACAAATGGAATATTGACGGCGGCGTCCACATTTGCAGTTTGCTGCGCAATTAGTGGCGCCGCATTCCCAGCCGTAGCATTTCCATCCGATGAGGGAACAGCCTCACGTCGTAGTCGTTCGAGTTCGGCGTCACCAAATATGTTGGAGCGCAGGATGTACCGAACTCGGTCTGCCAGGTTTTGCTCAGTGACGGATAGAGATGGCTCCAGCTCTGCAAAAAAAGCGATGCATCCGAGCCCGATATGCCAAACATCCGGTTTCTTCCCCTTTTGCCCTAAAGTACGCCCGCAGTGCGTTTGCGTTCATTGTTTGTGACCAACGCATGCGACGTGCTCCACCAGCGGCGGGTGCCGCTTGCTGAGTCCGAGAAGACCCAGCCGACACCAAGCCTTCTGGTGGGGATGATGGATGCGGAGGGCTGCTAGGTGATCGTACAGCTCCTCGCGCTCGGCTGGCGGCCCGCATGCTGCCGCGTCCAGCGCCAGCTCCAGACGCGCCCCGGCGACCCCCAGGCAGCGGCCCTATGCGCGTTCCTCTTTGTACCATCATCCATTTATGGGCGCCAAATAACGGGAGACGCCCAAGCCCGGCACCGTTTCGTGGTTCGGTCTTATGCACAAACGGACCTTTGCACCCACAATTTTGCCTAGGCACGGCGCTCACACCTCTTGGCAGGGCGCTGACTGACTGCGCCGACGTAGTAGTTTTGTCACATAACTGTTACGTCAGCGGGCGATGGGGTCGTCACTTCCCTACGCCTTTATTATTATTATTATTATTATTATTAAACTTCGTGACACAAACTCCAAGATAGTTGCAGACTGCGTGAACCGTTTAAACGCCCTGGGTTGTAACAAGAGGGTCGTTTTAAGATGGGTTCCGGGTCGCGAGGGTATTGTAGGCAACGAGTTTGCCGACAAACTTGCACGGGACGGCCTGTGGGTCGAAGCCGGGAATGGGTCCAAAATTTTCGGGACTAAAGTGCACACAATTTGGACCCAAACCATTTTGTGGAATCTCAAGAAGCCTAGGCCGATTGACCCTTGAAACTCTTTATCACAATAAATCACTTAAGATCTGGTCTGACACACCAGGCTTAAAACATTCTAAAACCTTAATCCGGGTATTTGATCGTAAATTAGCTTCAGAAGCCCTGGGATTAAGTAAAAATAAATTGCGCATTCTGGCAAGAGCCCTAACTGGACACTGTTGTCTTAAAAAGCACATGTCCATGTCCAGGTGTAAGACAGGGTGATGTTATATCCCCCGAAACTCTTCACCGCTGCGTTGGAAGACGTTTTCAAACTACTGGACTGGAAACGATACGGTATTAACATCAATGGCGAGTACATCACTCACCTTCGATTTGCCGACGATATAGTCCTTATGGCAGAACCGCTGGAGGACCTTAGCACTATGCTCAATGACCTCAATGGTGTCTCCCAACAGATAGGTCTTAAGATGAACATGGACAAAACAAAGATCATGTTTAATGTCCATGTCGATGTCCAACTTCGACCGAGAGGTCAATCGACGGAATCAACTCGGCTGGGCAGCGTTCGGGAAATTACGACACATCTTCTCGTCAGGTATACCTCAATCTTTGAAAACTAAAGTGTATGTTACCAGTGTGTGTTGCCAGTGATGACTTACGGATCTGAGACGTGGTCCTTCACTGCTGGCCGTATGAGGACGCTCAAGGTCGCTCAGCGAGCTATGGAGAGGGCTATGCTCTGAGTTTCTCTGCGTGATAGACTCAGAAATGAGGATATCCGCAGTAAAACCAGAGTGACCGACATAGCCCAACGATTAGTAAGCTGAAGTGGCAATGGGCCGGCCATATAGCTCGAACAACCGATAACCGGTGGGGAAGAAAGGTTCTCGAGTGGCAGCCTCGTACCGGTAGGCGTAGTGTAGGGCGAACCTCCACTAGATGGAGTGACGACCTGGTAAGACATGCAGGAAGTCGATGGATAGAGGTGGCTCAGGAGCGTGCTCTGTGGCGTTACTAGGGGGAGGCCTATGTTCAGCAGTGGACTTGTGAAGGGCTGTAATGATGATGATGATGATGATGAATGTTTTTTACTATCAGGTAAGGCAGTCAAAGACTTATATGTATACTTTATATTTTAAATTATATTATAATTTATTTACTTCCTAAAACAAACAAAATTTAATAAGCTACCGCCTCTAGTGATGGTAAAGACCATCTTTAGAGGCGGTAGGGCAGCTTAAGACCTTGATATGGTGACTGGTTTATATATTATTAGCAGCTGTTACTTAAAGACAAATTACTTACATTGCCATCTGCTTAGTATATATAATAGGTAGTTGCCGATTCGGATGTCGGAATATATAATTTTTTTTTTATTATTGTAAGGTTACAATATTAGTTTTGCTTTAATTTCCTACAGCTCATATAGACCCCTCATTATTAGGAGGGTTATGGAGCAGTAAGTGCACAGCGCTGCTCTAAATCTTGATGAAATGTGCGTCATAAATTTCATTTCTCAGCCATGCAGGTGTCCTAAAAACGATGTCTCCTTTCACCGGCATGCGTGTAAGAAATCAGCACTTAAAACTGAAATTAACCATTTCATTACTGGCGGGGACTGAATTGAGGTTATTTGGGTAAATTTTAAACGAGAAAACTCTCAGCCACCACGGCTGTTGGTAATTTAACTTATTATAGCTAAATTATAATATAGTAAAGACGGTAGCCTTCTAGCAAAATAGCACACAAAAATTTATGGAAATTATTATTTTACTATCTGACTATCAATGTCTACTGCCGATCAATGTCATTATTGCCAATTGGTTCATTTATATGCCATTACGGCAACCTTGGCAGATGGATTGGCAACCTTCTTATTATTATTATATTCAATTGTTATTAGGAAGATGTTGTTGCGTATATCCTGTTTTATAGTCCCTCTATCGATTCTTACGACGCCCACGGGTTGACATGGGATAGTGGATATTCTTTCGCCGCCACTACATAGTATATTGCTTGTTACTTATGCTTTTATGATTTCTCATTCATCATTGTATTAAGTTAGCGGATGGTTGCAAATTAATTAATATATTTATTATAATGGATTTCCGCAAAGTAACGCCTGATTCTATAAATTAACTTATGCTTTTGATCTGTATTGATTATATGTATTATATGTAGCTCTTCCAGCCCATAAACCTGAAACATGCTCTAAAACTAAACTAGAATATTATAGCAAAATACGTTTTCTTTTTAAGCATATTGTTAAGTCTATAATATTTGTATTTTTTATATACATTATATTTACCTCTGTATTTCACACCCTTGGTTTCAGTAATTTGAACGTGCCGAAAATGTAGTTTTGTTGTTTATTTAAACTGAGCCGAGACGGATCCAGTGTCAGAATCGCCGAGATGTCGGAAGTAATTAAGTCTTGAAATAAAAAGTGGCACAGCTGTGCACCTAAAGGAGCATTTTTTTACTTCTAAGTTAAATAATATGATCTTGTGATTTTTTCATTAATTGATTTCATAATTTATAAAGTCACAATTGTTTTGTCGTTTTATTAAAAACTGAAATATCTGAAATTTAAATAGACCTCGCCCATTGTCGGTAAGATTTACTTGGTAGGCGGATCCACGATCAATTTTTTTATTTTATTTTATTAAATTACCAACGGTTGTTACACCAGTAAAAATTGCTAGAGCTTAGTATCTAGGACATAGACACAATCGCTTATAGGTAATCATCTCTTACGTAATAAAACATTAAATAATAAGTCTATAAACTAAAAGCCTTTTTTTAATTTAGTGGTTGTCATACAATGTACGTCAAAGATTTTGTGATAGTCACAGAATTTGTTGTAAATATGGGTCATTCTAGAGATCGGGGAATTTGATCCTAGTAGCGTCCTATGGAATGGACATACTAAAGGCTTGATAGAAACACGAGGTATTCTCCACGGCATTCTAAAGCAAAATTTTGAGAGGAGTTCCGGACAGACATCATAGTGTACCAGACGCTGGGATTTAATATATATTATATCTGTTCACACGTTTCGCGTCTTTTGACGTTGCTTATTATCACCTTGTCGCCTAATGTCTGAGCAGAACTTAATTCCCAGCGTGAACGAGATGTTTATATCGACATCTATTGGAAGCCATGATATTATTTTTCTATATCCCAGAGTCGCCTCTTACGACACCAACATAATTATATTTTCTTTATAGTTTGGTACGCAAACGAGTATCCGGCTCACCTGATGGTGACTATCGCCACCCATGAACAGCTGCAACATCAAAGAAATTGCAGGTGCGTTGCTGGCCTTTTATAAAGGAGTAAGCTTTTTTCTTGAAGGCCCCAAAGTTAAGACTTAAGTCGTATCGGCTGTCACAAATAACATTTCTCGTACAACCTGTACGAGAAAACTCCTAATAAAATGCACTGTGGTGGACTGACAAGCATTCAGATGGTGTGATGATGTGAAATGTATCTTGAGTTTTGATGCGATGTGCGTTCGTTAAGTATGGCGGCTGGAATTAATTCGAAAAATCCCTTATACTCTCCATGGTAATTGCGATATAAAATGTAAAGAGATGCAATGTCTCATCGCAGCGCCAATCAATCGAGCTGATCAGAAAAAACTTGGTCGCCAACGATTCAAGCCACTTTGCGCTTGACGCGGTCAAGTGGAAGTGGCTGGAGCTGGGGTGCCCCGGTCCATAGATAGGATTACATGTGAGGCCGAACTTGCGACTTGTAAAGTTACAAGTGGTGCACCGACATGAAATACTGTACTGTCCCGCTCTGCTGAGCACGCCAAGCTTTTGAGAGGTTAATTTGGCCTTTCCTTCCAAGTTAACACAAAACTGCACATTATTCGATATATCGACGCCGAGGATTCCCATGCATGCTGAGGTAGCAAGGGTAGTGATCATGTGACCATGAAACTAAGGAAATACGACAAACGGTTTCGAGCGTAACGCGTAAACTTGTGTCTTCTGGGGGATTGAACCGGCTTAGATTTAGTCGCTCCGAATCCGAAACTTTGTGCCACAATTCTCGACTTCATTAATTTGTAATAGATTGTCTTACGTGACCACTACCCGGCAATATAACTATGAATCAATAGGACCTTGAAATATCTCACAGAATGTATGCCTAAATATAATCATATAGCTACTGTATTTCGAAAGGAAAATGAGAGGAAATGCAGAACCTCTTTAAAGGTATAGGAGATTCTGTGCTTGTTTTTCACTCTCTTACTTATAAAAAATCATCTTACCGTGGAAGAGGCCCTTATCCAGCAGTGTACTTATAGGAAATCACTCAAGATTTATTTATTGTCACATTAATAGCGATTTCAATTTGAAAGCTAGGTCTTTTATCTATCTATAATAGCAATACGCTTGACCAAGTTCGCATCTGATGTTAAATGGTAATACGACCTTTGATCACAAAACGTTTTATTTGTGTTGACCTTAAAGATGCCTTTACACTTCTACACTGATCAAAAACGTTTTAATCACCCGCTAAACTCACCAAAACCCTCACTGATTTAGTTAACAAATAAATGAAAACGTAAGGTTGAAATCCATCTTGATATAAATATTTTCGGGGATATGAAGCGGATTAAAGAGATACGTATTTTAGTTGGATATTCCTTCATAATTCTATCGCTTGACCATCAATCAGTAAGGTTATCTTTATAAAAGTAAAGCTTATTCAAACCTGTTGCAACTAAAATTACAAAGTCAACAAAAGAAGGTTAAAGACATCGTTCAGAAAGTAAATACCCACGAGTCTAAGACGGTCCCTAATACAGATAAAATTTAACGTTCCATTTGACATTCCAGACGCGTGCCATTTCAGTGGATTATAACTTTGAAGTGCTATATGAAAATCTTCTCTCCCTAGTAACGTTCTATGAGTTTATTACTTTATATGACTGGCATAACGTGTAATATCCTTTTCATTAGATTTGATATACACATTATAACCTTGAACATAAATTTGGTAGTAAGCGTATTGTAGTAGCTACGAAGTTAAAATACGTGACTAAAAAAAACTTACTAGCTCGCCACTAGCTGGTAGGCTCCTTTCCTGCCTTAAATTCCATTTGTGTTTATATAAACTCCATTTTCTGCCGCACGCCGTGCTTTAATTTAAAATTTAAGAAAACCAGCCTAATTATAGGCTCTGAGACACTTCATCTTAGTCCTTATTCTTCTTCTTAGCTATAATAGTTTACCAACAGCGATTTTTCCGGACCGATACGACCTGGGGACCTTCAAGAAAAGAGCTTACTCCTTTCTAAAGGGCCGGCAACGCATCTGCAATTCCCCTGGTGTTGCGGTTGATCATGGGCGGCGGTAGTCACTTAACATCAGGTGAGCCGCATGCTCGTTTTCCCCCCTCTTCTATAAAAAAAATTATATTAGAAATTATTGCCAGACGAGCTGTCAGTTCATTTGTTACTCCAAATCTAATGTTACTAGAGATGTTGCCATATGTTGCTAAATTTTCTTTTTGCTTAGAAATTATTTTTATAGTTCATAATAATTGTTCTCTAGTGTGTTTAGATGAATAGCCATGCCGATTTTACTGTAAATATATTTTGTTATAATCATGTTATATGAAATATAACATATTTTAATTGCTAAAACAATATAACTAGTAAGATAAATTTGCCCTGGTTAAATCACAAGTTCCCGAACGTTAAATCTCTACCAATTAAAAATTACAATAAGTTAGATAGCAATAATATGTACAATAATTGTAGTTAAATCGTTTATGCCACATTAGGTACACAACACAACAAAAACACATTAGTTTTATAATCGTTTATTAAATCATTATATAAATTATTTTATGATTTTCTATTAACATTCCTCTATTTACAGTAGATTTCAGTCATAATAAATATAGAGAACACATGAGATGTATAGTGACACTGACAACAAGTTTCTTTCAAGGAACAAGTATTAACTTTTAGTTATGAAAATATTTAGGAAAATATGTCGACGATAGTTCGAAATACATAATCAGACGTAAGTACATTCAAGAGATTGAAAATAAAATTAATCGGAAATCGTAATGAAAGATGTATAATAAGATTACCTATTCTATATAAAGTATGGACATTGATTATCCCTGAAATAATTAAATTAATATAAAATTTAACATAGCGCTTAGAAGTACGCGTCCACAGGATGCATATTACCAAACGGATATGGTAGTTCTTCCACGCGGTCCCGGTCATATACAATCAGTTTTTTTAAGAATAGAATTTGGATTTTCGTAGAGACCGGACGAGCGGAAACTGTGTGTACGAGACGAATGGAAAGTCATAAAGAAGAATTTGTCGTGACTGCTGAGATGTTGGCAGGAGATGAGAAAATATAAAAGGAAACTTGACATTTGGATAGATGACATATTCAGAAGTGATCAAAACATGAAAAATCACTTTATTTACTGGCTGAATGAAGACGTAAAATTCTCATAGTATTTTCGTATGCCTCATGCAAAATTTACTACTCTTGTTGATATTCAGAGACTACATTTATCGCAACGAAAAGGGCTATGAGCAATGAATAGCAATCAGTAAGACATCAAGGGCATTCCTCGAAGTAGTTGTCTCTCCGAGAAATCGTGTAGTACCGACGACGAAATGCGTGTGGGCTGTCTGAACTACTACTTTTCCTATACAGGAAGTTCTAAAATCTGTTTGATACGACTTGGCCAATGCGTACAATGGGAGTCAGTAGACGCGTACCTTAAATAGATCGTACTATAATAGGAAAGTTTCAATTAATATCACAGTTTCTGTATTAAAATTAGAACATTAAAATTACAAAGTCATTCGCTACACCACTTAACTAGAAACAGTAAGTTCTTGTTATATCGGTACACTGACTCATGTCTTGCTGTCACCCAAAATAGTACTGAGCGTTTGAATAACGATATAAACTTCTTGCGTTGCGGTCAGATTCGGCTTGTATTTGAACTCTCGGTAAAGTCTTTACTGCTACACCGCGACCTAAAGTTCCATGGTGCATTGTTTGAAAGGGCATTTCGATAGGGTATTCAGCAACTTGTCCATATATGTTACTGCTTACATGTGGATATGTGTTTGGGACTGGACGTCCTACATAACGATTAATTTTTGGACTAAGAGTCATATTCTCGAGTTGCATTTCTTGTTTTAGTCCCGAATCTAAAGTTTCAACAGGGCCCGAAAGACTTGTTATATTTATATCGTTGTCAACTTCTGATATACTGTCATTAAAACCATTTGGAACTTCCGTAGTAGCTGATACATCGGGGCCTTTTGGTTGTTCTATATTACGTTTATTTATGACGCAACGCACTGTAGCCATAATGATGCAAACTAAAAGAGCAACAGCAACAGCAGCAGTGATGTAGGCATACATGATGTCGAATTGATCTGTAGAATAAATTATCTGGATAATTTTTTTTCAAAAATTTTATAGAAATAATAAATTTATATGCAGAGTTCTATGACTAGAATAAACCCAATTTTACTGATGTCTCGAGTTGCATCACTAACCGTCACACTAAGCTGTAAGAGTGTTTCAACAACCGTTTTTCAAAATTTATTATTATAATTACGGAGGCAGTCATTATATATATATCGCCGTGTAGTGACAGTGTAAAGAAATATCTTGCCCTATATCATCCTATGAGTGCCTTAACCCGCAACAGAAGGAAATAAAACAGGAGATGAGCAGCAGCATCTTTCTAACTTTAAGTAAACTTCTTGTAGGTAGCCAACCCAACCGCGAGAAGTGATAACTATGGCAAATATTGTCTCCTATGAGTTCCAAGCCTTTGTCAAGCAGTGGACTCCCGAAAGGCTGTAATGAATGAAAATAAATTATATTATCAGCAATTAAAAGAAGTAATTCGTGCTGCTCTTTGATTACTATAATTGTCGAGCAACAACATGCTATGCACATTTATAAGTGTTACGTGCTTTACAACATAATTTGAAGCTATTGGAAACAAAACAATAATGCGTACGTATATAAATTAATTCTGATTATTCTGGAGTGGAGGAATTTGAAATATTTATTCTGGAAAAGGTTAAATAAATAAAAAATATAAAAGGCTAAAATAAATATGAAATAAATAAATATAATTGTTTTTTTTTAATATAATATAACAATAACATATTATGTAATAATGATTCCATAAGTTATTCTTTCCGATTCATTAAATTTGGCAAGCAGTACTAAAAATTTAAACAAAGGACCTTTCTTTTATGATTCTATGCTCAGCCAAAAATCAAATCTAGGTGTCTGTAAAATCAATCATAAATCTTGTTTCATAATAAAACAAATTAAAGGAATAGACAATAATAGCATCGTCACATATAGAAATATTTTAAATAAAATGACATATATTTGACGATGGGTGTAAGAGGAGTAGTATCGTATTTTATAGCATTATTTAGATAAGCATATGATCAGCAACAGACTTGAGTGATGTAAAGATGATGATAAAATAATATTATATTCATTTCTTCAACGTAAGATTTCGTATCTGAAATATCGTAAACTTACCACTTTTTGTAACATGCTGCCTTGGTGATGACGGGAATGAGTCTTGTTGATTGTGGTTTGTAAAGTTATTATTCGTCGATATTGAGGGTTTTTTTGAAGGCACTGCCGCAACAGCTGGAGCAGGTGGTATAGCTTGCTCTCCCCACCAACGGTCACTTGTTTCATCTAGTAATATAGTATACGTAATTTAATTTTTGTTCCATTTTTAAATATTTAAAAAATATAATACCGATTACACAGTCTTTATTTCTACGATAAATTGAAACTCAAACGCTCTACATCTTCCTTGCATCCGTATCTTACATATATAAAAATATATAACAAGTGCTTTCTATGTCCAGAATTTGTGCTGCTTATAACTATTTATTAAAAATATGTACTTTTGGCTTAAATTACTCCGAAATACTCCCAGAAATGAGAGAAGGCTTGCGGTTAACGGCGGATTGTATATACATGTGTAATTACTATTTATAATTACATTTCAATGAATTTTTGTAAGTTAATTATATTTTCAAACAAAAGTATTTTTGTGTAGGAAACTTACCACACCAGCATATTTTTTTTTAAATTCTAATATTATAAAATCGAAACTAGTCTAATGTTAGACAAAAAAAACAGTTGCTTATCATTACTTGTTCGAGCACTAGTTTGGTTTATTTTAAATGTAATTTGTGGTACGTAGCATGCATCAATATTTTACCATATTATTATGCTATGACACGTTAAACGTATTTTCAAGGCTAAAGAAAAAAGATGGGAAAGTAAAATTTGTATAATAGTGTAAATTATTTGTAAAATCAATACAAGAAGTACATCAATTGAATTTTAATGAAAAACTGTTGCACGGCGAAATGCACACTATACATCAAGTAAGTGGAATGAAAATTGGGTCATGCGCAAGCAACTTTACTCAGCACTCCGCTTTAGTTGACACAGATTTATGAACGTGTGTGACTAACAATTCCAACTTTTGTTTTCCTATTGTGTACTCGTAAGTCTACTTTGATTGAAATTACAAATAGAATACTTAAAGTGTACGTAATATTTGTATGGAGTTAGAAACGTGTTACGACCATAAATAAATATGTACGGTGCGTGTTTGTACGCTAAAATAATAAATTTACTTAAAAAAATTAAAAGAAACTTCAAATACTAGTAACCGAAAATAATTTCCACATAATAGCTTCTGTAGTCGGTATTAAGACACAGTAATTCGAAGAATTAGATATTTCTTATGGTTAGATTTTTTCTATATATTTGTATGGGACCAGCCTTGAAGTATGACTTATATTTTATAAGAATTATTTACATCTTTTCAGTAGTTTTCGTGCAGAAATCGGTTAAAATACGCTAAACGCGTATATAGAACCTTCTAGATTTGTGAAATTTATTAAAAAAATGTTAATATATATAATAAGCGGGTAACCATTTAAACGAAATGATCCATATTTGTTTAGAAATATTTCTTGTTACTTGATATCAAATTTCCATTATTATTATTACGCTATCATCATAGTAAATTAATGTTTATTGGGCTTACCGACATCCTCGTGCTCACTATCAGATATATCATAAGCAACCTCATCTTCTTCTGGTGCACTCTCGTAACGTTCTTTGAGGACTGTGCGTGGTACTGCAATATAATTTTCAATGAAATCATGCTTTCATTTACAGACTAAGAATAGGAAAATCAGGAACGTTAGAAAAAAAACGTAGTGTTATACTGAAAACGTGTAAACCACCCTAGTTCCTTCATTTTGTTTGTCACACGCTATATACGAGCACACTCGTAGATGCACACTTAATATATATGTACATATGTTGCAGTAAGATAGGTGAAACCGGAATATAGTTATTTGCAAATGGGTTCATACCTATCTTACTAAACTAATCTAGTGAATAAATTGCAATTGTAGTTTGGCCTGAGGATCATCCCAGCTGCACCTTAACCTACTGTCAAAAAAGGAACATGAATAACAACAATACAGTAATTGATCCAATGTCAAAATCACGAAATTCGTTCCTCCTGTACATTCGGTTTACAATTACAATTTTTTCGCTAGATTAGTCTAGTAAGAACAGCTTTTATATTACGGTGTACAGCTATATCATAGGACGTGACTATATCACGACTTTAACTGCGACATATAAATACGAGCGCCAATTGTCTCATCTTGATGAATTTGTGTGTGTAAAATTGTAGGACATTGTAGGCTTCACACATTTCTCTCAAGTTCATATTTTTAACGACATGGACAAAATTAAGTTTTATTTTTCAAATAATTAAAAATACTACCTATTTTGTGCTGACATTTAAATTGTTCAAGTTAGCCAAAGTAACAATGATAATAGAAAAATAATTTAGAATTGCGATAAATAACTCTTCGGTAACCTAAGTTATATTCGTTTATAACTCCTTTTTACAAATATGCAGTAATTTAAAATGTTTCATTACACATTTTAAATTTTGAGAGAATTTAAATGAAGGGTTATACGAAAATTTTCACAGCATGATTTATTGCAACTACGGTTGTTATCTTAGTCGACAACAAATTTTTTACAGACTCATGTTCCACGGTAAAGCCAGAAGCAATATCTTTGATGATCCGTGTAAGGAAATTACTTCAACGGAAACAAACAAGATAATGTTTGAGTTCGCGGTGCAAGAACCGAATAAGTGAGTAATATACCAACAGATTCTGACAAGTGTAGTCTAATGGATTAATAATTGAAAATTAACATGAAAATTTCCTGATAAGAGACGCCATGAAAATTGTATGCTACGTACAATTTTAATCACATCTATTCATATTACAAAAATTTCACCAAAGATATATCGTATATATATCAAAATAGCAAATTATTGCTGCTGTGTTTCGTATGGTGAGTGTAGAGAACCCGAGATCCTTTTTACTGTAAACAAGGAATTCCATTAAATTCCTCAGGGGTGACAACGCATCTGCATTTTGATTTATAATCGCAGATAAATGCCTATTGTATGTATTGTAAATGTAATATGTCTATAGGTCGTAGCATCCACTTACCATCAGGTGGATTATGTGCTCATTTGTCACCTCCATTCTATAAAAAAAGAAGTAGTGGTGTTTTATAAAAACTAGTAGTCGCCCTGTGATCGAGATACAACCGTAATTCATTTAATTTTTATTTTCGCCAATATGGCTACAGAATAATTAAGTGTTCGACGTAGGCCATGAAGTAAGAACATACTTATGCTTGTACTTGCTCTGAGATATTGAACTTCCACAAACGACATAATTTATTTAAGCAGCAATATTCTGTTTGACATTGGCAGTACTAATGTAAACAATATAATATGTGCCATTTTATTGAATTATATTTATCTTTAACACATATTATTGGAAGACATTTGGGTACAAATTAATCTTCACATATTAATAATATATGAATAATCTTTTCTTGTCGCAATTTTTTACAATCATTTATTTTTAAAATAAACGTGTCAAATGAATCTTCTATTGAACTGAATAATAATATCAAAGAGATTTTTTACTGGCCCTCCACCGTTAAAAAGGAAGGAACCAGCTGAAGGAAGGATTTGCCTTAATCGCCACACTTGACACAAAAACCAGAACTTGTTTAGGTTGATGATAAAATGTATTATGTTCTCATTTCATAGGTTACCAGTCTAGGTTTTTTATTAAATATAACTAACTGGGTTTTCTCAAGTTTATGATAACATAAAGTAGTAATTTTTTTCTTTTTCCGGTTTTTTATCAAAGCCTAGTTTTATTGTTATTAGGAATTTATTTTACTATTCTTCAAGCATATGAATATTTTGAAGCACCTTTTACTATTGCTGATAGTATTTATGGTTCAACCTTTTTTATAGCAACAGGATTTCATGGACTACATGTAATTATTGGAACAATTTTTCTAATGAATTTGCTATTAACCTACGACATATAGATTATTATATTTATACCATAGATTACAAGAGATTTGTTCGTGTAAGATTAGCATGTACTGTAAGGAAGGCCTTATTTGTCCTCAGCACTTATTCAGGAAACTTATAAAAAAATAACAAGTTATTATTTCGATTATAAAACTATATAAAACAACGAAAAATCCACTGATATTTATATCTCATCTCATTGCAAAGTGCCTTAAACTTAAATTTCATAATATGAAAACTTGCAACTCGATGTGTGGTGTTTGTTTTGTGTGTACGAAATATCATCGTGCAAATTAATCGTTTTACATTTGTTAAGTGCGGAAGAGTTAAGAAGTATTTAATAAAAATAAAAAACCTTAACCTTGTCACGAATTAACAGATACCAACAAAATCTCTTCAAATAATTTTATCCTTTCGTAATTACAAGCCCACTGAAATCAGAGATGTTTTGGCTCTGAAGAGAACTATTAATTCAAACTTAATCCTATTAATTACAATAAAGCCTCTAACTATATAAAAGTCAAACTGTATCTTTGCTTCTACAAAATAGATTAAAATAACAGAAAGCATAAATTTAAAGTGGAACTATTATGAATTTTGACATTAAAAATATAACCAAAATCGATCCAGCTGTACTTTCACAATGTATCAGCAAATGACAGGTAAGCAAATAGATAATAACTTAAAAATTCTTAAACTGTTTGCACTGGTCCTGCCATAAAAATAACATAAAAATAAAAATTCTCTCTACAAATGTCAATGATCAAAAAGTAGGTTAACTAATGAGCTATTTGTTTCAAAGAAAACTGTAGCAATTGTCAAATAATAATTATTCAAACAAATTAAGAAATACTTTTTTGGATAAATTTATTTATTTCTTAGAAACGTTCTTCGCTTCATTAACACTATTTGTCTTTATTGGAAATACAAGTTTAAATACCATACTCTATTAACATTTTTAATATTTTATTATTCTTCTATTCATCTTTATTTTATATCATAAAGATAGAACTTGGGATGGTCTGTTGGCTGTCCCGCATTTTATATCTTAGCTTTATTGCGGACGCCAGACAGACTGGAAGAAACTAGATATTTTATTTTCTGAACGAGGCATCAGCTATTTGGAATAAAATAATATCTAAAACTAAATTCGTTCTTGCATGTATATACACACATGAGAATAACAAAAAGATTAATTATATTTTCTCGTTATTTTTTTATTAAAATGTAATATACACAACAACCTTAAAATTCCGATAATACAGTCGATAAAGATAATTCTGAAACTACATCGACGGTTGGTCACACACGGTGAATAAAAATCGAAATATTATTATCTACTTTCATTTAGGAGTACTAAGTATTTTCTTTTCTTCAATAATTTAAGTCGAGAAGAAAATATAACTTTGTGTTTTTAATATTTACTTACCACATGTGTAAACGATTTTGAGATACGTCCGGCTACCTACACGACAAGGCTTGCCAAACATCTTGCTGTCAGCTGCCAAAACACACCGCCTCTTTCCGTGACACTCTCGCATTGCTGTCTCAGTGGCGTAAGGTTCTAAGCAAGCTGATAATAAAATTCAATTCAATTTCTTTAAAACACCTACATAGGTCATATCACAAATTAAAAAAAAATGTAATTTCGATTTCATATTTTACAAGGTTGATCACGGTCATTTCTGCCTAGGAGTCCATTAAGACGGGTACCACCATCGGTCCTATTTATTTCGCCAAGCAATTCTGAACTCACTTTTTTGTCGGCTTGTAAGGTACGATAGCTAGTATTGTTACAAGCTATGAGGTATCCACGTTCCTGTAGCTTTCTTGGTGTTGTGTTTCTGTGTTGATCAGCTTGTACTGTCTCTAATATTCTTTCTTTTAGACTTTTTTTGTCCAATATTATCAAAAATAGTAAAACTTGAACATGCTACAAAATCTTATCTTAATTAACTATCTTAAGAGGATGCTCTATTATTAACTAAGTACTCACTCTCTTCTTTCATTCCCCTTGGCTGTGGGCACTGTATTGAATCATACTCAGTTCTTCCATACTGGGCCGAGTATATAGCAACTCTTGAATGTGGGTTGCAGCTTAAATGAAGTACATCATTTTCGCAGCCAACTTTACTTCGAAATTCATCTATTGAATTTTAAAAAAAAACTGTTACTGAAGTCAAAATAATGTTTGTTTGATGATTTTTGAGATAACTATCCTACTTGATTGGTAACTGGAGCTAATGATGGCAAAGCACCCTTTCCAACATAAAAACAACTATTTGCTCTTGCTTTGAAGCCAACCAAATTATTATCAGATGAAAATACGCTTCACGAACACATGATGTGGTTTGATTGCAAGGTATGTCAACAATAAAGCAGTGAGGACTGGCTGCGCATCTGTTTACGCGATGAGGACTGAGGAGGGAGAGGAGTTAATATAAATATATTTATGTAGTCCCTAGAGAACAATATACAATGAATAAAATTAACTTTTCATATTTTTGTTTAATTTAAACGAATATAAAGCAAACTATTAACATATTCAGAATCATTATTTCCATTGTATCAGATTCAATAAACCAAAATTTCTTGTAATATAACTCCGATATTTGCAAGGATTTAAATCCAAATTTTAAATGGAGAAAACATCTGGGTGTTATTAACGTTTGAGATCATTTAATTAAATTTAATTGACTCCATCACCACTTACCATCACGTAGGAATATGGTCAAGCACTGGCTTATAATAATTGAAAATAAATAACTCGAAACTCATAATCTTGAAAGTCATTTTTTAACTTTACCATTGGTTAGGATAAAACTTCTGCCCCATAAAACCAGTAAGAAACCCAGTGAGAAATTTTAGTGGACAAAAAATAAACAATATAAAAAATATTTATACAATTCACTTAAATATTTATTCAATTTGCATTTGTTCAATTACAATATCCGAATACAATCAGGGTGTCTTCAAGTCAAAAGTGAATGGGATTTTATTACGCTAAGACAGTGTGATTAACCACCTACCACCGCGTGGGATTATGGTAAAGCACTAACTTATAGTAAATTATAAAAAAGTGAGCTCATTCCGTGTAGATCGTAACAAAATTAATAATAAGAGCTTAAGTTAGCCCGGTTTATCCCATAACCATTGTTACTGCAAAGCACTCAGCGGCGATAGTCCTTTACCATCCCGGTGACCTGCTAGCTCGTTTTCCCCTATTATACAAGAAAATATATTGCAAATAGTTTGTAGATAGTAGATAGTTCAATATATATATATATATATATATATATATTTATTGAACTAAGGGAAAGGGACTTGTGGACCATGGAAGGACTGTTCAAAAAAAAATACCCAAGTTGTAATATCTAATTCAGTAATTTGCACGAAGTCTACCCTCGGCAAGAAAAAAAAAATATAGCACAAAAAATTTAAATAAAAGTACCAAGTATTAAGAATACAATTTTGAAATCTATGTGAATTACACTAACTTTTGAATACATTAACCAGGTCCGTGTGTGTACATTTTTTTCACAGGATGAAAGGATCGAACTTGCTCTATAAAACTTTTTTATGTTAAATTTTTACACATTTACGAAATTTGTGTGTTTTTTTCTACCAAACTGTAATACGTACTAAAAATAAAATAGTGGGTATAGTATTCTATACAAAACAGAAAAAATTAAAATTGGTCCTCATTTGCAGCTACAGCATCAAAAATATTGATGAAAAGGATGATTTTCTGGAAACTTTATAGATCATCTTTTATCTTTTAAAACACACAAGTTTGGTATAGGAGTTAATTTTTTTGAATAGCCTTTCCATGGTCTACAACCCCCTTTCGTTTGATCGTTACGATCTGGGACAACTATACAAATGATATAGTTATACCAAATTCAGTTGAACTTACGCACTATATAATAAGACCTCACATTTATCCTCGCACTCTTGACTCAGAGAAAAAAAAACATAGCAGAAATACTTACATGGACGGCACTTGTAAGCGACTTCAACGAACCTTCTAGAACCAGGACATGGATCAACACCAAATGTTTTTGGACTTGTGTTAAATTTGCACTGTCGCTTTTTCTGGCACGCCTCTACGACTGTCTGTAACAATGAGTACTAACATATTTGAGTTAGTATGTCTATTCATTTAAAATAAGAATAAAGTTTCTATCAGTGAATTTTTAAGTATATGTCATGAATTTTCGTTGTCCGAAGTAAGGAATGTTATTATTAATGTAATTATTTAAACAAAAAAATTAAGTAGGGTTTTTTACCCTAATATTGTTTATATTAGAGTTAAATTATTTTATATACACGCATTGGTCTTTAGTTGGAATTATCCTAGTGAAAATAATAGTCCGTAGTTATTAAATTATTTTATTGTTATTGGTCAGTGGTATTAATTAATATAAGTTATAAATTAGTCCACCGCGCTGTTCCAGTACATGGCGGACTTGAAATGCTCGCGTAGGTACTATAAACTTACAGCGAGTGCTAACTAACACTAACATAGCTTGGGGTGCCAGGCACTTGTATACTTTACATTCAATGTATTTAAGGTTATATTTGAAGTAGGTTTTAAAGGTTCATTCATTGAATACCAAACACGTGGAATAGTGTCAAGCTAATAACAAAATTCTATACGTATTAATCAAAATAACTAATATTTACAATATATATCGTTGGTTTCGAGTCAAAAGAGAATACATCATTAGATATAATTTATATCAACATAAAATATCCCATGTTTTAAATGCAATGATACTTTAGCACTACTTTTAGGAAACTAGTATTTTGTTACCTAAAAATTTAATTAATACTTAGCTGTGTGTCTCGAATTTACTATCCTATACTTTTTCCGATCACGTCAAGCATCGAGTTGTTACGATATACGAACAAATATAAGTTCTATTTGAAAAAAAGGAAAGCAGGCTAAAGTTTAAGTATTATATTAAAGGCTAAATATTCGATTGCAGATATAAAATAGTATAACAGATGTAGAATATTTATGTTTATAATAATATAGTTACCTGTTATGGGCGTTTTAGACTGTAAGGTAGTTTCATGTATTGATTAAAATCAAAGTCAATAACATATAACTTGAAAAAACTTAAACAGTTTTGTTGACCACAGTGAGAATAGTTTCCTTTTTCTCATAGTAAAAATTTAATCCATTGTCATCATTTCTCAATATGCCTGCGCAATTTCAGAGTACATACATTCGTACTCAAAAACTGTATTCGCTCTTACTCAAATTGTTATTAATTATTATTCATCAAACCCAAGACTTAATTGAAAAAAAAATAATTTTAAAATGAAAAAGAACCGTATAAGGCATTAATCATAAAATTATAAACTTCGCAAATAGAAATCGTACTTACGACAAAAACTAAAAACTTGTAGTATACCAAAATTACCCAAACGTATTTAACACAACAGTTAAAGAACAAGAAAACAAACATAAATGTGAAAAATGGTCCAAGTTCCGCACAAGCGACTTTCAGGATTGTTAACTTTGTCGCTAATCGTAATCTAAACGACCAAGCTTCATAGAAATTGCTTCAATCATAACTTTCTTGGAATATGTGATTCTAGATAATTCACAGAATGCTTTATAGGTATGAAAAGTTATATGTGTGTAGGTGTTGATATTTTTGTGTTATGGGTTATGATGGGGAACGATAGTACCTTGAAATTATTTATGTGAATATACACACTACCGGTGCATCGGCCTTATCTTTCCGAATTTTAACAATTTCACTGGTGCCGGCGGGGATCGGAACTTAGGTTGCTATCACGGTATGTACGAGTGTCTATATAAAAAAGAAATCTAGTTGTTTAAACTACACTATAATCGATGGCCCGCTCTATAGTTGTTTAACCTGTGTTTTTGGTCGGAGATTAACGCATAATAAATAAATAAATACCTGCAAGGTACTAGGCCAGGTACATGACGTATCACCCACGACTTCTACAGCAACCGGCTGGTATTCTGCCAGTTCGGGAGAACACGAAGTTTGAGACGCCGAAGCACCATACTGAGCTACTTGAATGCTGATTGTAGTACCACGGGGACAGATGAGTGTAACCATATCCTCGTCACACGCAGCTTTTTGATGTGTGCGCAGAGTTCCCAACAATAGTTCTGTAAAAAAAATACAGTTTAATATGGAATACAAAATCAGTGGGGGATAAGTCGCTCGCGTCCGTAGGATTTGACCATCTATTCCTAGGCCCACCCTATACGTGTCCCCCGGGTGCCGATAGCACAGACTCGGCTCCTCGCCGTGGTAGCGGCGTAAAATATACTACCCCATATTTCGCACCATGAGGACACAAATAAAAGAAATGGCCCCGAGTTCCCGGCGCCCCTTTAATGGGGCAGGGGTGCGAAGAATCTCCGGGAGGAAAACCGGCGACGAGGTTCGCCACCCGTCACGTTCTGTCTCCCCAAGGGGCGAAAAGTGGATTGCAGAGGCTCGTCTGGCTACGTTGAATGTATGTGGAGCAATGAATGATAAAATGGATAAAGTATGCGATATGATGTATGATAGAGGAATAGTGTGTATGAGACGAAACGGAAGGCGAAGGATGTCACTACACATGACATGTATACCGCATACTGGCCTGGTGTAGACGAGATCGAGCGGGCATGCCAGGGAGTAGGTATCCTTTTCCTTTCTATATACAGCATACAATAGAAAAGGGTCGCAGCAGGACTGTAAAAACTACCGTGGCATCAGCTTTCTTAGCATTGTGGGAAAACTGTATGCTAAGGTACTGATAGAAAGGGTCATGAAAGAAACTGATGGAAAAATTTGGGATGTGCAAGCGGGATTTAGAAAGGGAATGGGATGTACAGTTCAAGTCTTTTCCGTGCGCATGATTGCGAAAAAGTTTTTGGCCAAAAACCAAAAGGTTTTTTGTGTATTCATGGACTTGGAAAAGGCCTATGACAGAGTGGGTAGGAATGTGCTATGGCAAACACTGAACTCATTTGGGTTGAGCGCTGATTTGATACAGGCATTGGAGTCTCTTTATAGGGACTCTATTGCTTGTGTTAGGATTAACGGGGTCTACTCGGACTGGTTTGATATCCATAAAGGTGTCAGACAGGGCTGTGTGGCTTCCCCGTGGCTGTTCAACCTAATTATGGACAGTTGTTTGCAAAATTTGAAAGTTGAAGAATACGGATTAAGAATGGGTGAGTTAACCGTCAAATGCCTTTTGTACGCCGATGATCAAGTTATTCTTGCATCGTTGGCGGCCGAGTTGCAAATGATGGTTACATTAATGAACAGATTATTAAAAGAAAGGGGGTATGTAAGCGAACGTGAGTAAGACGAAGATTATGGTTTTTGAAAGAGAAGAAAGTAAAACGATTTGTTAAATAAGAATAAAAGGGGAGTTGATCGAGCAAGTATTTAGCAGGGATGGGAGATATGATAAGGATATAGAACGACGAGCGGGCCATGTACTCTATTGTGAAGAGTTTAAATGTGTCGAAAAAGGTACGTATGGCAATTCACAATGCTGTGTTGATCCCTACTTTAACGTATGGTAGTGAAAGTTGTGTGTGGCAGAAGAAGCACGAGAGTAGAATGAACGCAGTAGAAATGCGGTCGTTAAGGAGTATGTTAGGGCTGAATCTGAATGACAGGGTAAGAAATTGTGTGATAGGCGAAGAGTGTGGTTTGCAAGATGATGTTGTGACCAGGATTAAGAAAGGAATGCTTCGGTGGTTTGGTCATGTGGAAAGAACGAATGAGGAAAGAGTGACAAAGAAAATTTATGTTGCAGAAGTGAAAGGCAGAGTCGGGAAGGGTCGTCGTAGGTGAAAATTTATCGACCAAATTGGTGATTTATTGAAAACGGGCCAAATTAGGAATACCTTTAACCGACGAGCAAGTGGAGGCGAGAGAGGTGTGTCAGGATCGTGCCAAATGGAAGTCTGTAGTCTCTGCCTACCCCTCTGGGTGACAGGCGTGAGTGTTTATATATATATGACCATGATATGACGACCGATGACCAGAATTTTTTTTGATTAGCCTCTTTAGTTTCACAAGTCCCATTAAACAATTTATAGTTTTTGATGTGATAGATTCTCTCAAAGCGCTGTCATGGGTCTATTTATTATAACATCTATGATAAAAAAGTGTCAAAGTTGCGGGACCTTCATACACTCATAACAATTATCAAAGCAAGTTTTTTTTTTTATATAGAAGAGGGGGCAAACGAGCATGCGGCTCACCTGATGACTACCGCCGCCCATGATCAACCGCAACACCAGGGGAATTGCAAGTGCGTTGCCGGCCTTTTAGAAAGGAGTAAGCACTTTTCTTGAAGGTCCCCAGGTCATATCAGTCCGAAAAAATTGCCGGTGGTAAACTATTCCACAGAGAGGTCGTACGCGGATGAAAACTCCTTGTGAAACGTATAGTGGTGAACCGCCAAGCATCCAGATGGTGTGGATGGTATCGGGATGTTTGCCGCGTAGTGCGTTCACGAAATTTGGCGACGGATTAATCCGAACAATTCCTAATAGCACTCCCCATGATATATGCGAAAGAAAATGCAAAGAGATGCAACATCTCTTCGCAGTGCCAGTGAATCAAGCCGATCGGAAAGCACTGTCGTTGAGGATTCTATTACTGCCTAATATTACTGGTGGCGATGTAAGAAAACGTTTGGATTGATCCCAAATCGAACTCAACGTCTTCTAACAGATGATGTCAATGATTAAAAAAATTCTAAAACCGGTAACTACCTACTATTAGAGAGGCCCATGTCCAGACGTATTCTTTTGGACGGATACGATACCAGAACACATCATGCAGACATGTATTAATTAGCTTTATTTTTAGTAGATAAATATATATGATTGTCGGTATACTTTACCATTACAGTTCTATGAGCTTTGGTGATTTTACAATTGAAGTGCGCCTCGCCCCTCTGAACAAGAGCACTTTACAATCCTCGCCGTTGCATAAATCATATATTATTCTACTACAGACGACAGATCTCATTGAATATTAGCAATGTCTGAACTGAATTCATCGCTCCTGGTGTTGTTATAAAAATACACACACACACACACACACAATTATATATATATATATATATATATATATATATATATATGTGTGTATATATATATGTGTGTGTGTGTGTGTATGTGCATACATAAAGTAGAGTAGTACAAGTATTTTTTTTATAAAATACTTCCAATAAGTGAGCACACAGTCTACCTGACAGTTAATAGATGCTGTAACTCGTAGACATCTATCATCTATCATATATTCAGAATCTAAACGCAGACGGTTTGTCATTGCTTTTTTATGGGAGAGGGGGCAAACGAACATACGGCTCTCCTGATGGTAAGTTATTACCGCCGCCCATGAACAACTGACACCAGGGGGAGTTAAGTATCTCCTAGGTGAGCGTTGTTTGTGTTTAGCAGTGAGAACATACAACCGCCGGAACCGCCGGTACGACATACTCCGCCGATCGTTGAGTCCGCTGATTCCGTGAGACGTCGAGGTCACCGGCTCCTAGGCAGATTCTTGGCACTTTAAGACGCTCGTGTCTATTGTGCCTAGTCGCGTACTTAAAGTGCCACCACCGCACTTCCCCTTCCCACTGCCTAACCCTTTTGTTGCAAAAAGGGGTAGGCAGTGCTCAAGTGTGGAAAGTCAATTCTTATCATCCCCACCATCCGCGTCGCGCATCACCATCCGTTGCCGGTCGGCTGGTTATTTTAGATAGGGCCTTCTGATTACCACTGACTGAGTTAGGTAGGGAACCACGTCTGGTAAGGATCAAGGGGATCCCCCCCCCCCCAATCAAGAAAATCACCGGACCGTCCCGGCGTACTGGAGGCCTATTGCCTACAGAGATATCTTTAACCCCGAGAGGATGAGAGTTGTATCATCCTACTCGCAAATCCCGACCCGGTAGCCTTCGTCGCCGGGTAAGGAGCCCGCATCGAGGGCCGCGCTCTCGCCCATCGTACCTGAGCGTACGACTGGGCTTGTACGTAGTACATAAAGTAAGGTAATACATAAATGTAAAAACGAAAATATCTAAATATTTAGAGGATATTTATTTCGTATATTAATATTTATATTGTTGTGTCCATAGGCTGCAGTAGCCACTAATCCGTAGAATGTGAGTTTGCTATTTAAATTTATAGAAATAAAAAATATCGTGTTATGTAAAATATATCAAGTTTCAAAGAATTTGAATAGCGTCAAAGTTGCGGAACGTCTGGTAATGCAATCCGACAAACCTTTCCATAAAAGTCTATGTCCAACGAGAGAAAAAAATAAAATATCAAACGAATTTTTAACTTTTGCATAAACGCTTTTTGGAACCAATAAAACAGTGCTTTGGCCTGTTAATTGCTACACATGTAGATTCATTTATAATCAAAGCGTCGAATTAACCTTAATAAAAAATAAATAGTTTATACTTAGATTTTATTATCCACAATAGCCATCCTATGCTACAGCCACACACTCCTATACCATATGTTGGTCGATAATAAAAGCCGATGGGATAAAAATATTTACAACGGCCAACTGTTAAACATACCCTTGTGTAATTCTCAAGAGTCAGTCACTTAAACAACGGGTCATTAAGGGGATGCCTTCTATTTATAGACACGGTATCCTCGTATTTCATACTCGACGAGAGGCGTAATAGGGCGCACGTGGCAAACGATCGCGCTACACACTTTTACGCTTGGTACAAAATTGTTAAAGAATGTTCTTCTATTATAGCTTTAAAATATTATTTAAAACTCATATAATATTAGTTTAAAAAACACAAAGGTAAAGGTAAATTTCTGGTAAAGATCAATTTTATTTATTTAACTTTTGTAAAGAAAAACTAATAAGGAATTAAACAATTATTTTGTTTTCCCTTAATAATACACATTTTTTGTAAAAGTTTTACTTTTAGTAAAGTAGTATGTACAACACAATAAGTTATATTAGTAATCCTACTAATTAACATTACTAACATTCCTTTCAACCACTCCTGGTAAGCTTAAAATGCTTATATTAGGAGTGGTTTACTTATATTTATGGGTTCACGACAGTAGTCAAACAGCGGATTCGAACCTAAAATCTTTTGCGTTCGCGA